AACCCCAACAAAACCAAAAAAAAAAAAAAAAAAAAAAAAAAAAAAAAAAAAAAAAAAAAAAAAAAAACGATTTTGGGTACAAAGTGTGAGCATTCCCTGCGTTGGGCCCGTTGGTGTGCCCTAGCACAGTTGCTTAAGCACGCAAGGGGCATTCTGGAGGTCGTTGGTTCAATCCCTGCTGACAGCCTGCACATGCTTAGTGCCAACCAGCTGAAATAGTTGGCTTGCTTGCCCCAGTCCGTACTGGTAGAGTCTTTGCCCATCACGTGTGTGTGTGTTGTCATATTCGCTATACACAAACAACAGAAAAGCATGACTGTGCGAGACCATTTTGTCAGACTTCAACCGACTCGTCAGAGAGACTGTGAGGTACCACCTTACCAACTCGTGAAGGTGAGGGTGTTGGAGAACAAACATCAGCGAAAATGGGCATATGAGCCTTACATCCCCATCAGCAAGCTGCCCTTTGACCCTGCAGAATGGTAATGGAAGGCGGGCAGACCCCCATATGGGAGTACACAGTAAAGGAGGGGTACAGAGCCACACGAGTCACTTCCCCGATAACAGAAGTGGTAAAGAACAGATGGGAAAGGGACTCCCCGCTCACTCAACAGGACCTTACTGACCTATCATGGTCCCGATATTCGAATATCGAATATCATGCCAACGGCCCACCGAGCTCTTCAGTGGCAGATCCTCCACAGATGCCTCCCCACCCCAGACTGGATTGTCTCCCGCACAAACCTGGAGCAGCGTGGCATCCTCTCCTCGATCTGCTCCTACTGTGGGAAGTCCTCACCACCGGCGAGAGAAACACTGGAGCACTGTCTGCTGGCCTGCCCAATGGTGGCGCAACTATGGAGCTGGTGGGACTCGTTGTGGCACCACCTCACGGCCCAGCATCTCCCCTGGAGCCTTGCACTCATATTACTTGGTGAACACACTCCTCACTCCAAAAAATGGGATGCCTTTGCAGCAAATCTCTTCTCATACATGAGTCTTACACTGCTGATGCTGGCCTGGAGGATGCGGTGCTCCCACGAAAGGGACAAGTGCTTCTTTGGCTACCTACAAGCGCGGGAGGTGGCGATTGCAACAATTACCAACCATACCCAAGCAGCCTGGAAACAGCTCAAAAAGGACCTTACAGATAAGAAAGACCAGATTGAGAGACAACAGTGCAAAGATATATTCGAATCCATATGGCTAGATCAAAACAGGAAGCTGGCCACACTGGATGACCAGGAAAACTTAGTCTGGAATAGGTGGGTGGCGGAGGAACCGACATGGGAAAGACTCCCTCGATACCACTTTAAGGTCCCCTACCAAGAGCAAAACTTGATTCTGCCCCCCCCCCATCACCCACCCTCGCCCTCTGTCTACGATCCTTGACAGCCCCCCCGCTCCCCCCCCCTCTTTTCTGTCCCTCTCCCGGTCTCGGCCCTTGCCAGCCCCTCCTCCCCGGTGAGTCAAACCCTGTCCAGTCCAATGAGATGATCTGAGTACAGAACAACAACGACCGAACAGCAGGAAATCACGGGGTTAGAGGACAAGACTGCAGGTGATGTAGGGCTTAGAGTGTCTGAAGAGACTGAAGAGACTGAAGGGAAAAGGTAGAAAGCAGGGGATAGCAGGGAAAGGGTGTGCGGGTAAGGGATCGGATGACACCGGACAGTCGGGTCCAGGAAATCAATGCTGATGACATCCAAACGGACGGGGGGTTATCCGACATAAGGATTTAAAGAGTGCCTGAAGAGACTGAGGGGAAAAGGTACAAAGGTACAAAGCAGGGGGATAGCAGGGAAAGGGTGTGCGGGTAAGGGATCAGGTGATACTGGACAGACGGGTCAAGGAAATCAATGCTAATGAGATCCAAACGGACGGGGGTTATCAGACATGAGGATTTAACAAATACTGCCAAAAGGGTCCACTGACTGGATGCATCTGCAGAGGAGACTAGTAGGAAAATACTGAAATCGGGGTTACCCCCCGACAATAAGAAGCAGAACCTCCCGAAGGGCATGTGTCACTGTCAATGTCTCAAACTTTTATGAAGTGTAAGAAGGGACGCTGGACCCGCTTTCCAGCAGGTGCTGCTCCCCACCAATAGATGGAGTCATCCAAAACTGGGTCTGCTAATGGGGGATGCTCCTATCA